ACTCCCAGAATTCCCCAGCCAGCCATGTTGGCTGGGGAATTCTGGGAGTTGAAGTCCACCCAACTTCAAGTTCCCAAGGTTGAGAAACACTGGTCCAAGGGGATTATAAGAAACAACTGATTACTTTAAAAAATGTACAAGAAACAAGAAAAGGGGTTTCTACCTTTTGCACATCTGCAGACACAACTGGATTCAAACAGGGCAGCAACTGAGGCAGCCTTGCACCCATTTTTTCAACTCACCAGATACTGGGCCAATGCTTTTCTGAGCCTCCTGCATCAGTTGGACCCCAATTCCCATCCTCCCCGGCCAAATCCAAGCTCACCTGGTGGTTTTGTTTGCTGGGCCTTTGTCCCCTCATTGCAAACCTCATCCTGGATGAAGACAGAGGAGAAAGCGGATTTAATTGCAACAAACTTTTCACGGCTTTTGAAAAACCCTGGCCCATGTAGCTTTAGATAAACTCACAGCCTTAATACTGTAAAAGCAAAAATCAGCCTGTAAGAGGACAGTCGAAAAGGCTTCCGATCAACCATTTCAAGAGGAGAAATCTTTAAAAAAAAAAACTCTTTCAGGGCAACGGCGTACTTGTAAAGTGAGATATCAAAGAAATGGAGACTTGGCAAAGGATTCCTGCATTGGGCCGTGGGCTGGACTAGAAGACCTTCAAGATCCCTCCTCAGCCTATGATTCTATGAGGTGTTGGCTGGGAAATTAAACAGAAACCTGTTTCAAGTTACGTTGCCACAATTGCTGTATTTCCAGGAAAGAGCGCTTGTTCCCATGCTGAATAAAAACACAATGGCTATGTACACACAACATGCCATGCAAAGCCAAGGAGACAAAAGAAGATCAGGTGATCTGATTCCCACAATGCAGGAAGATAATGGAGGGGCCCCCACCACACCCCCAAAAATAACCAACCACATTTTAGCCTGTCCAGTGGAGCCCCGAGCTGTCACTCCAAAGGATAAGGTTGGAACTCTGCAAAATGCTAAAATTGCTCCATTTTATCTTGGTTTGTCTTTTTGTTATGCAACGGGTGCCCACCCTGAAGGTGACAAAAACAGAGCACACTTAGAGGCTTTCTCAGGTCTGCAGCAATGAAGATGCTCTAATCTGAAATCGCTTAGGGCTCTCTGTGCCCAAAGGAGAAAAACGGTTTTTATTACGATCAGAGATGGGGGGGGGGGGAATCAGTTGGCATAACAAATACCAAGCAAGTGAATGTTAGTTAAGAGGGCCCAAATAAACATTTAATTCAGATAAACCAGGAGTTGCTAGTGAATGGACTCTGGCTTTCGGACGGGGCCCAGATCAGTGATATGGCTGTTGCAGTTTACCCTGGTTGGGGCTTCTCAACCAAGCAGAACGCGCACGTGGCAGAAATGGCTACGGGACAGGGCAAAAGAGTGGTAAACTCAGTTGCCCAGAGACTGGTCCTTAGATCAAGGGCAAAATACTTTCTTAGACTTAGGGGTGCATTTACGTCTACCCCGCAGCCTGGGAGTGGGGGTCTGACATCACTGAAATGAGCAGGGCTGAAATTTAAAGAGGGTGGGAGGCTGCACTGAAGAATTCCTGCACTAAGGAGTGGGTTGGTCTAGGTCAGTGTTGTCCAAACTTGGCCACTTTAAGATGTGTGGACTTCAACTCCCAGAATTCCCCAGCCAGCCATGCTGGCTGGGGAATTCTGGGAGTTGAAGTCCACTCATCTTAAAGTGGCCAAGTTTGGACAACCCTGGTCTAGGGGATCTCAGGGATCCCGTCATTTGCCCCGTCAAATCTTCCCCAAAGGGAGAATTCAGATGGATTTAGGAGATTCCAGGGGATCTGAAGAGTCATTGCCAACCCTTCAAACCTCTGCAGGGCTGAGGTTTGCAACTTAGCACCCGCCCTGCCCCCTCAAAACCCCAAAGGTGTGACATTGGTCCTTCTGCGTGCTTATTCTCTATGTACTTAATGATTTCTCTCTTCAGTCAGCGCCAATATTTCAAGCTGACTTTTGGAAGTCACGCCCAAGGCTTTGTGCAAACAGAATCCTGCTTTAAACATCATATTCTCAAAACTGAAATGTGTCAGACTTCAAGTCCAGGGTAAACTCCAGTTGGAAGAGTGCTGTGCTGTTAACAATCCTCCATTGTTATTTTACTCCTATTTATTATTTCATGCTGTTCTTTGATGGACAGGTGTAATTGCACATTTGTTTTAAGGTTACATTATGCTTTAAACCACTGTGACCTGTTCTAGACCCAGCGTTTCTCAACCTCGGCAGCTTTAAGATGGGTGGACTTCAACCCCCAGAATTCCCCAGCCAGCATACGCTGGCTAGGGAATTCTGGGAGTTGAAGTCCACCCATCTTAAAGTTGTTGATTACCAATGTTTCTTAACTTGTCAACTTTTAGATTGTAAATATACTTGTTCAGAAAAGCAATCCGCTTCCATTAGTAAAACCGTCTTGCTGATCCCACCCCCTTTGACAACATCCCCAGAATAAATACCCAAGTATAATAGCAATTCATCCCCATAGAGTTAGTCATTGCTTAACAGTCCTAACTGAGACCGGAATTTCCGTCACTAAGCGAAGCAGTTGTTAAGCGAAACATCACGTGACTGCACCGTTTGGCGATGGCAGTTCCGGTAGTCCCAGTTGCAGTTGTTAGGCCAGGACTTCACACTTCTCCTGCCCTGTGTGAACTGCCAGCTCCATCCCGCTGCCTCCTCCCCAGCTGGGCCCAGCTACCTCCCTTTGGCAGACAAGGCTCTGCCACCCGGCCGTGCCTTTGCCACCATCTGGATCTCGGGATAGCAGGAGGAGGGAGACAACAGCAAAAGTCTGCTGGGGGGGCAACAGGGATAGGCTGTGGAGTGCAGGGCAGCCAAAAGGGCAGAGATGGGGGGAGATAGGTGTGTGGGGGGAGGTGAACCACCCCTGAGGTCGTAAGTGCAGGCCAGTTGCCAAGCGCCTGAATTTTGAACATGTGACCACAGGGATGCTACAACGGCCGTAACTTCGAGGACCGGCTGTAACTATCATTCATTCAGCGCTGTTGTAACTTTGAACAGTCCCTGAACGAATGGTCATTAAGCGAGGACTACCTGTACCAGTAAGTGCCAGTGTAGTGGTTAATTTGTTAGACTGGCATCAGGGAGACCCAAGTTCAAATCTACTCTCTTGGTGAGGTTGGGCAGTTGCTCTCTCTTAGCCCAACCTACCGTACAGGGTTGTTGTAAGGACGATTCCAGGAAGGAGTGACGTATAAATCTTTACAATTGTAGGCAGGATGGTTAATTAACTTGAAGAGCCAGGATGCTGTAGAGATGCAGGTTTGGACTGACGCTGGAGCAATTTGGGTTCGAATCAGCCTACCTTGCAGGGCTTTTGTAGGGGAAGAGGACGCCCGAGGTAATCCACCTTGAGTGAAAGGCGGGATGTCAATCCAACCGGCCTTCCAACTTCAAAAGAAATCCCTACCGGGGCCAGAGCATCAACCACCCAACAACGCAACGGACTCAACCCGGCTGTTTCCGAGCCGTCCTCCGGGCGCCACTCACCGCAGCCTGTGGTTGGCTGGGCTCCTCCGACTGTCCGCCCCCCTCCGCCTCGTCCACCGAGAGGGAGCCGCTCTTCAGCCGCGAGCGCCGCTTCTTCACCAGGTCTGCGTCGCGCATGTGAGCAAAGGCGGACTTGGTGGCGTGGGACCGGGGAGGCGCGACGGGAGCCGGGCCGCCCGTCGGGAGGGTGCTCTGCAGGGGGCGCTCCACGCTGCCACGGGAGGCGAGCCGTTTCAGCCGGGGAGGAGCAACCACCTTCTCCTCCTGGCCAGCCGACGGCTTCCCCACGCCCTTCGCTTCTTCTGCCCCACGGCTCCCAGGATCCTCCGGGCCCTGGCTGGGGGCCGCTGGGGAGCCGTTGGCCAGTCCCTTCCCATCGTGCCGTGGGATTTCGCTCCCAGAATCCCCGGGGGCCACCCCCTGTTCCAAGGCTGGAGGAGCACCGTTGATCAACCCGTCGGCTTTGGCGCTTGTGTCGAGAAGATGCTGTGCATTCGGGCTGCTCTCGCCCACCGCTCTCTCGTTGGCATTTGTGCTCTCGGCTTTATAATCCAGAGGGCCAAGAAGCGCTGCTTTGCGTTCTTCGGGGGCAACCCCGTTTTCGACCTCTGGTCCTTCGGCGACAGCCCTGCCCGCCACGCCCGAGCCGTTCTCCTGCTCCATCCCCGGCCGGGCCTCGCTCTCGTTGCAGGGGGCCGTCTCTGCACTGGCTTCATTCCCAGAATCCTTTGCTTCGGTTGCCTCCTCAGCCCTCCCAGAATTCTCCAGGACAGCAGAGCCCTGTTCTTTCTCGTTTTCCTCCGCCGTAACGTCCGGCCCTGTTGCTTTCCCAGAATCCTCCTTGGCGTCCAGCCTCCCTGGCTTCTCTGCCTGACTAGCGTTATTTTGCAGATGTTGGGAGTAAAAAACGGCCGGATCAATGGATCCGGAGGAATCTGTGTCGAACTTGCCCACCTTGTACGTGGTCTCGCTGCTGTGGCTGGCAAACTGCACCACGTTGAGCTCTTGCCCAGTGAAAAACGCCCGGATCTGGCAGAGGTACGTCATGACGATCAGCCGATCGGGCACGGTCAAGAACACCATATCGGCTGGGTCCATCACCCGAGAGATGCCCAGCGTGGCAAAGCCATCAAAGGCCTGGTCGCAGGAGGAGAAAGAGAAACTCAGAACTGATTGCCTCTTTCTTAGGAGGAAAATATTATGTATTTATCTACTCCTCCTTCGCAACTGCCCATAGCTTCCCTCACCCAGGATGCCCAAAAGAGTTTCTCAGGGCAACACAAGACTTGTGGGGTAATTGATTTTACTCCCCCTGCCGTCATCTTGAATATCTTTAGTATTTATGTATAGGGTTTGTTTTTATAGTGGATTTTTATGGAATGAGCAATTTAATTATCTATGGGGTATTTTAATTGTTTCGGGGCTTTTGATTTTGAATGGTGAGCCGCCCAGAGTCACCCGCTGGGGGAGATGGGCGGCATACACATTTAATAATAAATAAATAAATAAAAATAAAGACTCTTCGGGGCAACGAGGTGAGGTCACCTTGAAAGAGTGCCCATTTTACAGTCGGAAGTACTGAGGCTGACAAAGAGGCGAAATTAACCATTTTCCCAAAGAGCCGGACGGCTCGCTTCTCCATTTCTTAACAAAATTATCCTTTCCGAAAACGAACCTATGAAATAGACTCAGTAATGATTTAGGCCCGCAGAAAATTCAGGGAGGAGACAAGGATCTAGCATTTTTCCCAGCCATCTGACAAGGCGTTGTTAAGGGGCTTGGAAAGCTCACTCACCAGTTTATTGTTCTGCTTGATATCAAGTGGATCCAGAGCTTCATAATTGCTGAAGACACAAGAGGGGAAACAGAAAATCTGTGAATATTTCCATCAGGGATGCCCTAACCCACATTCCCAAATAATCCTGCCTATCCCATTCTTTTCTAGGCAGAAAACCAACAGTCCTGGGGGACAGAGGGGAGAGGCTAAACGACATAATACTGACCGTGGATCAATAACTCTGTTAGCTAGAGCAGTGTTTCTCAACCTTGGCAGCT